GCCTTCTGTGTTTGGCCCAATACGCAGATAGGCAGAAGACGTCTTTTGAACTCAATTTAGAGTGTTTGAAAATGTGCCGCTGTAGAAACTCACTTTCATTGTAATTACGGATTGGAAACCAGGAGCTGTAGGGTGAAATGTGGAAGCAATGCAGCACCGCCGGTACATCGTAGGGTCTGAAGATTCAAAACCAGATGCTCCAGTACGGAAAGTGGGGGCACTACCACCACACCACCGGTAAGAACGTTCTGAGATATACATAAACGTGTAAATAAGCGAGTAGAGACGTCGCTTCGCTCGCTCAGCCCTGCTGCGCCGCCGCTGCCGTTCCCTTCTCATTGCTGCTCTCCCCTCCTCTTTGCCGCTGTCCCCTACCTCAACTTTCCCTCCAAAAACTAGCTAGTCAATCAGCGTGCTGGGGCTGTCAATCGACAAAAATGCCAGAAATTTTTTGTGCTTTTCAAGTAGAAAATGTTATTAACAAAAGTATAATTTGCTCATCAGTAACTGCTCATTTTTTAATTTAAAAAATACGGTCCTCTTGCTGCTGACGTTTTCTAACAGCCATCACAAATTTCTGCAAAATCTGCACATAATGACTGAGTGCAAAATTTAGTACTTTTATGATACAGAACCTAAGCAAACAGTAGGCTCTAGCAACTAATTCAGTAAAAGCATTACTTTCATCAAGTGGTTGGTGTCAATTGGTTCTAAACTTCAGAGTCCACTATAATTTTATTTGATTTTTTTGTTTAAGCTACGTTTCACAAAAAGGTCTGTAAAGTAGTCAAAACTATAATGGTAGTATCTGTCCCTTATGCCACAAAAGGTTCAAATTTTTCAGTTTTTTCTCAACAACATTTCTTTTCCAATTATGTTTTTTAGGAAATTATCTGGCAGTCTTCTGAAAAATAATAAGTCTGTATGACTGCCGAAACGCTTACGAGCAGATAACTGGAAGACATATAAGCGGCTATTCTCGGTTTGAGAGATTTCTTTTCGCTTTTTATGCATACAACTGTTTACTGGAACTGTGAAAAAATTTCTTAGATTGATTTGGTTTACATTTGTTTATTAGCCGTTAGACCGCACAACGAATTTCCATAAGCTCTTTTTTTCTTACGTTACAATAAGTAAACATTGCAATCGAAATAATCAATATTAATTACTTAACAAAAAACTTAAAAAAGCTTTTCTGTGAATCGGTACGTTCTCCAACCGCTGCTTGAGAAGAAAAGCACATTCTGTGAACATATAGAGCACTTGAATCAAAGACACTTGAAAAGTGAACTTGTTCAATCAGTAACTTTTGCAGCTGACATTTCTGGCTTATATGTAAACTCTATTTTTCCTTAGTTACTTAAGCGGTTTTATAACTTGGAAAGTCACATGTCTCGAACTTGCTCTAAAGCGATATTTGGCTTATCAGTTGTTGTTTCTTAAACTGAGTAAAACTCCTAAATACATTTTGTAAAAATATAGGTAAGATTGATCAGAAATGATAAAGCATGCACACTTATGCGGCATCCAGTTATAATGAAATGCTATCATCATTTTATTAATCAAACAGTAAAATTTCCATAACAAATGAGGAAATCATAAACATTTCTAAAAACAACAAAGTGTCTTAGTGTTAAGTGAAATCTCTTTTAGATTTTTTGACTTGTTATATTTTCTATGTGACACTTGATTACCACAGTGCTTTAGAAAAAATTTTGAAAACGGTTGTTCAGTGATTAAATTTTTCTTTAGTTCTTCACATTTCCCGCTGGTAACTCTACGCTATGTACGGTTTCTTAACATACTTTACAACTTAAAAAACGAGGCTTCTTTTTTTTAGATTACAGAGTACACAGAGATATGACAATTTAAAATATTTTAGTAGTAACTGAAGTTATATTCATTTTAAGCTTTCCTTTTGTTGGCAGTACAGCAGTAATTTCTAGCGCATTCAATGTAACCAGGATTGCAAACACATGGGGAAGTTGGGCATGGGATTACTGGCGACTCTAATAGTGCGCTGATCGGCTGGCTCATGATGCAGGACGAGTCGCACGCAGGCATACATTCCGGCATACACGAAAACGCTGGAAATTCTGCTAAACACGAAGGCGAACACAGCGGCATGCAAGCGGGAACGCAAATGGGCGAAGGAAGAGGCGTTAGCTCCGGCAATGTTGGTGGCGCTGGTGGTGCGGATGGTGGTGGTGACGATACTCCAGCAGGTTTGTTAATGCAGGATGGCAAGCACAATGGCATACATACAGATATGCAAATCTTAGCTTTTTGTGCAGTTGGAGCTATGGTGGAAGGTGGTGGAGGAGGCGGAAGGGGTGATGGAGGAGGCGGTGCAGGAACGGGGGAAGATGGGAATTCTTCAATACATGAAGGCAAGCATGCAGGCATGCATGCTGGTATGCAAATTGGCGGTTGTGATACAGGAGGCGGCGGAGGGGGAGGAGCTGGAGGACTTGGTGGTGCTTCTAGGCATGACGGAAGACAGGCCGGCATACATGCTGGGATACAAACTGCTGGCTGTGGGGGTGGTGGTGGCGGTACAGGAGCTGGATGAGCTTCTATACAGGCGGGTAAGCAACTAGGCATACATGCTGGTACACAGACTGACGGCTGCGGAGGTGGTGGTGGGGGGGCGACAGGGGGGGCTTCTAAACATGCAGGTAGACAGGCCGGCATACAGTCTGGCATGCATGTTGGTACTGAAGGTATAGGTGGTGAAGGATTCGCGTTTGTGCATGTTGGCA